AGTTTAAACTGTCATAAAGCAAAGTTCAGTAAGCAAAATTCTTTTTAAATTTAAATAAAATCAAAAAGTTCTGTGACAATCTGTCGTATCTACTTGTATTCACAGCCTCCGTCTACATGGCGAGCGCAGTAAAACATATAAATCAAAACTTTGACATAGCTGACACTAGTACAGAAACTGTCAGAGAAAATAAAACATTCGCATAGTCACCATGTTTGTAGTTTTTACATAAAGTAAATATTTCATGCAAATTAGTAGGTCGCTTAAAATCCATACAAAATACCACACGTTCCCTGCTTCGAAGCGTTTATCGTAATCAAGAGGGGCTCTGTTCTAAAAAGGCCTACATATTTCGCGCTGTTTTAAATCCTAAAAAATCAAAACAAAACTTTACAGCTGAAGCAGTTCATCATGCAGCTGGACTATAAATATATATAATTTATATTTCGTATAAGATATTTGTTGGACCTTAAAGACATCAAGCATGGCCAGGGAATAAACTTTTAAAATTATGTCTGATATCTTTAAAATTGAGGAAATTTATACTAACAAGAATTGTGAATAAACATAATTTTAAGAGACGTTTAATAGACTTTCTAAACAAAAGGAAGTGTTATAAAAAAAACCAGACTCCTAATAGCAAATACATCATACGATCGGGTCTGAATTAAACTCAAAAAATAATTCCCATTGTACTCTTTACTTGTGGTTAGTTCGGAATACACAGCATCGGATAACAGATGATTAATAAATACGCAAGTAAGCGGTCGTGGCCTAACTGAAGGCATTATCCCGGTGTTTCTCTGAAGATACTGAGTAAAACCACGAAAAGACTAGTTCCGTCTCCGAGCCGATATTTGAAGCTGTATCCTAAAGAACGCGAAGTAATAGTGCCAACTCCAGGATGCAGGGCATCTCTCGATAAAAGTATAATGGCTCGCGAATCAATAAATACCTGCTCTTATGCCACTCTATAGTTAAATAATCATGTCCGCTAGATCCATCCCGCATCGCCACATTCTGTTACTCTGAAATTCATTTTAATATTACCATTTTACACATACACCTAGTCTCTAAATCTCTCTTCTTTTGAGGTTTAATAACAAATTGTTAATGTCTGTCTTCTCCTCCATGCGTGATACATAGGCTTTTACTCCGCCCAAATTATACCAATGAATCCATCCAAGCCTCTGATCTATTGCGACACTTCTTAATATGCCTACAAAGTGGAGGACCACCTGTTGTCGGCTGGTATAGACCGTAATTCAACACATTTGCTGTCACCCTCCGTCCGTAACAAGATGTACCACGATGTGTGACACAGGACTCGAGAGATACCATTCGCTAAAACAAATTAGAAAACCCAGCCTGTGGAGTAAACCTTCAAACAGTTAAAGGCTGCCTATCTCCAGGCGTTTCCTAGGGCACAGATTACAGTATGTGGTTATTAATAGTGCTTTTAATGACATCAATATACACATAGGAAACGTCTGTTTACAACGAACACTGCCCTGTGTGATACATTAATTAACATTTTAAACATGCTTTGTTTACTTGCATTAATGGAGCACAGTTTTGCTCCTAGGCTAATGTAACTGCAGGGCCATCACCACAGCCAAATAAAACAAGAGGAATGACATTATTCTGGCCCCAATTTAGAGAACTTCACAACATGCATCACATCCTGATAGACGGACTTCCGGAACTAACTTTGTCTCTGCAGTTCAAAAGTACAGTCAAATGAATTTATGGTGGCCGCTAGACTGCGTCAGAGGGGAGTAAAGACGAAAGTAGTGGGGAAAAGAGAGACTACGTAATGGATAGGCGTAAACTTGCAACAATTCAGTTCGCCTGCGGATGCTTCTACATCGTAGCTTCTAAACAGACTGAGCTCCGGCTGCTAATCAGCAAACCAGCTTTGCTCTGAATGGCCACTCACACAGACCAGAACTCCACTCAACAGCCAGTTCTACTGAAAAACACTGTAATTAAAATCAAACACCAATTGCCATATGCCGCCAACACCAAGTGACTAAAGAGTAAAACTGTGTCAGCCAAAAAAGGTAGCTGTTAGTGACAGACCTAATTGTGTCCAACAAAAATCCCACGTGATTGCGTACGTCATCAAATTTAAAGTTAATTAATACTTAATATTTCATTTATTATTAATATAACAGACTAACAGCAAAGCTGTAACTACTCGTTCCGCGAATTTCATACACTATTCACAAATACGTGATACGTCGCATGCAAATGCACTCAACAAAACATTCGCATTTACTCGAAACCGATGTTCCACAGTGTCACATTTGGCACCACTGTATGTTCTACGTTTCCTTGCTTCCTCACCCATTTTCTTTACGTCATCCCAAGCCACAGCACATCTGATTGGTGCGCACTTAGCCGCCAGTTCTACTGACATATAATACCAGGTGATTCAAAAAGGACTTTACAACTATGAAAGTGTATAGAAATTTATTCAGAAAGCTTACAGAATCGGTTGAGGTGTCATTTTGTAGCAAAACAAATCAAGTTTGACTCACGTTGTGCTGTAGTACCGAATTCCGTCACCGCGAGCGCAAGCGGCAGTGCATTTGAAAAATGCTCGAAAATTTTCTCATACCACAGTTAGACGAAGATGACCAAAAAGGACGCATTCACTTCCAGCTAGACGGCGCACCACCTCACTACCTCACAGAAGTCCGGGATTTCCTCAATAACCGTTTCCCAGGTCGGTGGATTGGTCGAACAGGGTCGATAGCATGGCCATCTCGTTCTCCAGATTTGACACCTCTCGATTTTTTCTTATGGGGTTTCATTAAAGATCGTGTGTATGTTCCACCCTTATCTGCCAATCTCACTGAGCTCAAAGCTCGAATCACCGCCGCAGTTGCAGAAGTGACACCGGATATGCTGGATCGTGTTTGGCAAGAAATTGATTTCAGGTGGGATGTCTGCAGTATCACCAATGGCAATCACATCGAACCAAAATTACTGTTTGAGGTAAAACTTGATTTGTTTTGCTACAAAATGACACCTCAACCGATTCTGTAAGCCTTCTGAATAAATTTCTATACACTTTCAAAGTTGTAAAGTCCTTTTTGAATCACTCTGTATAGTATCACCACCCTGAACTCACCACACTCGACTTTATTTTACTATGGTTCTTACGAGATGAGACTGTTTCTGAGGAATGGTAACGCCTAATGGACCCCCACACTCAAATTAACCTGAACGCGGTTAGAGACGTAAATCGCAGACTTCCATAAAATTAAAGGATGTTAGAGACCTGACGCTTTTAACGTCGGTAATCTTATACAGACTACACAGAAAAATAATCCTGAAGACACCCACCTTTAATTTGGAAAACGTAAAGTTATAAAACCAGTTCATTTGTTATAGCTTCGTATTACGTTTGTTTTTAGAGAATTTATTTCACTCATTTTGTTCATATCTGACACGCTCCGGGCAGGATGTTTAACATTATCGCTCTAGGCTTGTGTTCGAAGTTGGGGTTTCATTTGTTTCCTTCACCACCTCCAGGTGAACATAGATATAATAACAATAACGGTCGTGACTATACACATCCTTGCAAATCCTTACCCATTCACAATTATCTTTCAATTTCATGCGATGATTTGACATCGGTGAAGTCAATACAGCGTCGGTAAAAAATGTAAGCTTGGGCCATTTAGATGGACATTCGTTCACATTTTGATGTCGTCTATTCTTCTCTTGCGTCTTCAAGTCGTGTGCTGTTTTACACAAGTCATGTTCAATATCCTCCACTTCTCTGGTATATTATCCGATTCAGTATTCACAGTTTCCGTAAGCATCAGACCAAACACGAAAAACGAAAATTACAGAACTAAAGAATCAAACGAAATTAGAGACTCCCCATGTGATACAAATTCCATGAATCGTAATTAAAAATTTACGTAATAAATTGTAATTTATTTAAATAGTTGGCACATCCATTTTGAGTTCCGGATAGGTTATATTTTTTTCTAATTAAAGCCATAGTAAATTCGCTGTTTAATGCTGAGGAAACAGGAAACCGTGGAGTACAGTTCGGATCCCACATCTACTACACTAGCAAACTGACTAATTCTTAGGTACCTTAACGACGGTGTTTCGACTTCAAATTTTAGTGTATGAAACTACTTGACGGATTTCAATAAAATTTAGAATTTGCGGTTTTTGCGCTAAACATTTTCGGACGAATTCACTTTCGGTGCGAAACGGTCCAATATAAAAACTTCTTTAAACAATTTTCTTAAAAGGCTTCGTAAAAATTTGTACATCAGTATGAGAAAAATATTATTCAGCAAACTTCTACAGCTTTTTATTTGAAACTTAGTTCTGCTTAAAGATATGTCGTGGGGAAAAAATGTGATATATAAATAAAAACGTCATCGGAGCTTATTTCCGCAAATAATATATATGTATCTGAAAAAAATAAACATTAAAGCCACGAGGTATATAAAACTGCAAGAACGCATTTGGAAAATACGTGTACTCAGGTTACCACTCGCGTTGTGTTGACTTCCAAAGCAGTTTACGTACAACACTGAATTGCCTTCTGCGTATTAAATTTCACGTGAAGGAAATAGTGCGCGGGTTTTCTCAGAAACAACGATGTTATATATAATTGGCCACAGCAAAAACTCGCTACAGTTGAAATTTATCTCGGTTTTTTCTCTCCAAACTTTCTCATTTTGTGGTCAGGTTCTTTTGTTACTTGCACCGATGAATTTATTAGTTCATATTATGTTAGCTTATCTCATGGACCCGGTACATGCCGAGAATACATTCTTTGCAGTACGTGACCAACACAACCTGTGCCATGCCTCACTTGGAAATAATTCTATTGAGTCAGTAACAAAGCTGCAGATGCTGCTAACATATATAAGCAGAGACCCCGCAGAACGGAAGAGTCCACATGGTTCTCTGTTTGGTGACCTATTTTCAGACGTGATTAAGTGCAGTCAACGACTTACCTTCCCGCAGTTGATGTATTCCACCGCCGTCTCGCGAAAGAAGAAATACACGAAGTCGCCTTGTGTCATGGAACTCACAAAATTTGGAGCTGGAATAAAAGAAAATCAAAGATACGGATATAATACTGCAAGAGATATGACGTTCTCTAAGACTACACAGCACAACTTCTCAGAAAACTGTCATATAAGCCGTCTTAAGAATCTGAAATCTCGCTACGAACTGTGCATTTATGCATCATTTTCTTAACCGATCGCCGTTTTCATGAATTTAACCACACTCATTCGCCGACTTATCTCTCCGTCTCTCTCTGCCACTACATCCCTGAACCTTATATCCATCTCACTCTCAGCTTCCCCCTCGTTCTCCTTTCTGGTAACATCCAATCCAGCACCTGTTTGGGCCAAGCGTTTTCTGGCAATCTCTGGATATGTCCACATAATATTATTTTTGTATCACCCAGCCAAAGTACTTTTCTCTTATTACATAGTTTGACGTCCTTTCATTAATATCCTCGCTAAACGTCTCAAAACATCCATTTCCACTAGCAATGATTTTTTTAAATTTTTTCTACTTAAAATGTCATACTCCTGAACGATATAATGGACCTACAATATTATTTTGGCACGGTCTTGTAAATATTTAGTTTAGTTTTCCTTGAACGCTTTTATACCACAATATTGTAGAGAACTTACGGGCTGAGGCGACGTACCCGGCCGCCCCCTACAGTGGTGCCACCATCTTCAAGAACACGTTTCTCTGAAACGTTGATAAACAACTCCACAAGAGTAGTTGGGGCAACAACACAGAAAACCACAACCTGAACTGACAGAACCCTGACAACCTCAAATCCTGCGACAGACTCGCTTCTGAATAATCTACGCCACCTTCTGTGTTACTTTTAACAGTTTCACACAACTACCTAGTTACAAGGCATGGGTCCAGGTGGCATTGGCAGCAGCTACTTAAAGTATTAGCAATCTAGAGCAGTGTTGTGTAACCTTTCTACAACCGCGACACACTAAATATTGTCGAAGAGTCATGGCGGCACACCAACCCCATTTTGCATATCAAGGGGGGGAGGTAGATGGCTTATGGCATTGATTGGCCGCGACAACTTCTTATAAATCGACCCCAGACGAGAAAAGTTCTATTTGATGTTCATAATTATCCATCTTTATTAATGTCATATATTTTAAACATATTCATTATTTGAAATAAATTAAAATATAATATTTCTTACCGTTTGATCCATAATCTATTAACTATGTGTAAACATTTAAACTTAAAGATACTTATTTATATTTGTACATGTAGATTGCAGGAAAATACAGAGTGTGGCAATAAAAGTAACCGGGGGGTACACATGTTTTGCTGCAAAGTGGTTGTGTTGTTTTCCAATTCCATTTAGTAGATCTTGTCTGTCTTCAGTCTGCCCGATCATAATAAAGAAAATTAAAACTGAGACAGAGCCAGAAAACAAGATTAACAAGTCCGACCTGCGGCCACGCGCCACATCCGGCCCGAGTCCGCATGTAACAGGGTCCGCGAAATTATTGTTAATCTGCTGCTGGCTACAATAAGTTCATTTACTTTCTTTACTCTGAAGGAAAAGTAAGTATATGTTGATGTCCCGTCATCAGGATGCAGGTAAAAATCGTAACAAAAAGTATAACTGACAACCCACCATCGAAAAAACAAAACATAACAGACGTAGTACAGTACTCACCGTTCAGGCTCATTGAGTCATACTGTTCCGTCTGGAGGGACTCTCGGTAGATGATGGGATCCATCCCTGAGAAGTCAGCCACGGTGCCCGTGTAGAGGTCGCCATCTGCAACACGCAGACACAAACACACGCTCAGTCCAGTCTCCACGACTTATTTCCATCTGAACAATAGCTTACAGTTGTTCAATATTTATCACTAAATTCTTCTGGACCAACTGGCGGATATTCATTAAACGATGTATGCAAATTATTCTATTAGAGGTCACACATCTTTGTGCAATTAATATCCTGCAAACAATAAAACTAATACGGTAATTGCGAATTTCTGAGGTGTCAGTGATTCTCTCGCCCTACACTGTAGGTTTTTTTTAATTCTGTGAGGAAATACATCTTGTGAGGAAGTCCGAATTTTATCAATACAACATTCTGTAGAAAGTAAAACAACTGATCTTATAAATCTATACTTAGCTATTAGTTTGTAAGTTACTATGAAAAACCACAGATGGCAGTTACGTAATATTAGGTATAGAGATACATCGTTGTAAATTCTTCCCATAACACCTTGCTGTAATTGAAATATTACGTCATCGAAAGCGAGAGAAATTCCCTTATTCGATATGTGTTGCCATCTGATGCCCCACAAATCACAACTGTGAGATGTACAGATAGACGTTTCGGTCTATCATTCAGGTGAAAACGGGACATTGCAACATGCCTTTGCCAAATCGGTCAATAATTTGATTAGCAGTAGTAGAGCAGAGAAATAAATCCCAGCTACCCAGAAGTGCGATGCACCCCGACTGTCTCCTGTTTTCCCACGAGACTGCCGCAATGCTGCCAAACCTATGAAGTTACGGGCACAGCTGGCACATCTGTTTCTTCACTTTCTTGTCCAGTTCTAGACACGTGACCTTAGTTCCCAGTAAATTACTGCTAAAGGAAAAAAGAACTGTAGGCCATTCACACTGTGAAGGCTTCTAAATCTTCTGCACTTTCTTGTACTGCCTCACACTGTGTAGATGACCCGGTGATGACGTAGGCGGTTCTGTAATTGGATGGATGGTTCCCATGTGAGGATATATTGATCGAGAATGCCACCATCGGGAATTGATATCAGATCCCCTACTAAATTACACATGGATGCTATTGCTTCGTGTCTAGTACCACGGTTACTAACGGCAGACCCATTTGTGTTCTATTGTAAAATTTAATTCCAAACCCAAGCGGGGTCTATTGGTGGGACTTGGAAATAATTTCCACATGAAGTGAAACAAAAATTTTATACTACCTCAAATAATGATTTCTCACATCCTTCTTTAACACGTAATCAACAGTAAATTACCGGATGAGTGAAATTACAGCCAGCGAAATGGATGCCGCTCTCAAAAATGTACGCCTGCTTATCATATTATCGCGAGATCGCATTAAAAGTATAAAATATGCAACATCTCTTTATAATGTAAGTTAAACGTGAAAATATCTTCACGGCGACCGAAGATTAATGCCAAACGCCCCAACACAAGCCTGACATGACAGCCTCCCGTCAAGCGCAGACTCCGACAGACCCCGCCATAGGCGCAACCAGAACTTCGTTTGCATTTGTCGCCACCGTCAGATTTAATTTCAAATTTTACCGCACTCGTAGAATCAAGTTCACGGATATCTGCTATTATATTTGGAGCAGACAGATTATGGCACAAGTTGGTGAAAAACAAAGTCATTGCACTGTACGTTTTTAATATAAAGTATAATGTATCTCATAGCAGTACACAGACAAACCTATAATCGAATAAGTGTCATGGCATTTTCGGTTCAGATCGTTAAATATTATAGGACAAATTATGTCAAATTCTTCCACAGCTAAATCGATGAAAGTAAGTTTTGTCGTAATTGTAAGTTCAACGAGTATTTCCGTTACGTACGGTTCTGTCAGTACTGGTTCATTTTTTAGGGAACTGGGTGCACTATGCCGTAGAGTTCTAAAAGGAAACATGGCCCAGAGAACAAAGACGATCGATTCATATTGTAAGAGGATGAAAATAAAACACCATCTACTTGGTTCATGGGTTGGCTCCTGCAGCTGACTGTCGCTGTTTGGTTTCCACGTCATTTCCGGAAAACAAGGACAAGTGTCCAGCTTGATCGTGACTGTCGGTCACTTTGTATCACACACTTCAGGGTTGCCACAAAAACAAACTATAAGATACAAATAACAGATGACTGTCAATAAAAACCATAGTAGAGGGCAGTCAAATGAACACACATATTTTGCAAATCCCTTCCGTGTTATTTAGCGTAGACCCAATTCACTGCCTAAAGTCTTCATTTAAATTCCTGTATGGGAGGCAATCACAGTAACTGTTTCACGCCCAGGTTTTCGTTTTTCTCCAATTAAACTGTTGTGAAATAATGAAACTGCTTAGTTTTTTTCCACACACATGTTTTTTGCATATAGCTTTCATTTTATAAGTTTAATCTTTTGTTGCATTTTAATGTGCATCATACACAATGTAAACGATAACAGGACAACTTTAAACTTAATGCACTGTATGAAACAAGCACCTAATTATAATTATCACTAGTGGAAGAGAATATTTTCTGCCCGAGATTCTTTTAAAATGAACTGTAGGCTTACAGATATAATAAAATGCTTATCTATGGAGAAGAAAATTATTTACCAGACGAGAATTTAGTCACATGATAGCCTATATATTCTTGTGTATTTCATGGTGCTTTGGAGGTGTCAAACGCTACTTCACATACACACAATGAAACTACTTATTACTACGAACAAATTATTTTGTTTCTAAACAAGTCAAAATTTAAGATGAGAGCCTTCTGGGATATATAAATCTCACTTATCTCCCTAATGATGAAGGCAGCAAGCACCTCTGCAACGTCGATAGATTACACGGCAACAATTCAGAGGACAACCATCTTCATATACAGAAAGGGCTCTGGGAGTGTAATATTAACACGTTGTTACAAAACAAATGAATTCATTGCGGCAGTGATTAAGATAAACAATCAAGGCGACGCGAAGGTAAATCTGTACATAGGTAATGGCGTCTTATGTTAAACGCATCAGCTTGTACATCGAGTATCGTGTTCTGGATTGGCGATCGAGGAGACACGTTCTTCCTAAACGTCATCAACCTACAATGCCAGACGGCGCCACAACCTAGAAGACCACCAACGAAATCTACACTCACGTAAGAACCTCAAACCTCGGACGAATACTTTGTAACAATCACTACTATAAAGCAACAAGACCCACAGTCCAGGATTCTGAAATAGATACTGGCTGTTATTCTGCTAATGAAAAAAATTTAATACTGACTGTAGCCTTCTGGGCTCTGGTGCCATGCAGGTGGTTACCAATGTTTCGGCGGGGAGTGTCGCCTCCATCTGAAGATGAACTACAACCCAGAAGCCCAGAATCCGAACTTTTACCGCCATGAAAACCTAAGATCTCAAATACAACAAATTCCTTTCTGTTATGTGAAACAAAAACACAAACAGTATGCTCATAAAAATTCAACGTGATATCAGCAATTTAAATTCAGTTCACATCTGCATAACCTATTTCTCTATGGTGGATTTTAATAGTGAACCAAAATTTTTACGATTCTACTATACAGGCCTATCTAATTAATGTTACCTTTCTTGTTATAATCATCCTATTAACATTATATGATAATTACAAATCATGAAGCTCCTTGTTACGGAATTTTAACAACCTCATGAGTGTGCCAGAGCTGACATCAGCGTAACAACATGTAGCAGAAGAGTTCTTGAAATAAGAGTTATTGAAAATACAACACAGTACGTGTCTAAAAATTGTAACCGAAGAGGGCTTCTATTTCTATTTTTTGTGTTATTGTTTTGTTCTGTTTCATTGTTCTCTTGTTTCTTATTGTTTTTGTTGTCTTATGTTTTGTTGTGTCTTATTGTAGGACCACTGCCACCGGGTAAAAACCCATTTGCAGTCAAATAAATAAAAAAATAAATAAAATAAATAATATACTTGGCGTTACTTGTCTGTGGCCGTTATGCACTAACGAAATCAATTATCGCCACCTTCCAAATCACCCCCTGACCCCTCTATGACAGAAGGGGAACAATTCAGTGGGGTTTCGTGGGGTCCGTGATATGCAAGGCGAAAATTTATTCTGACAAGCAGCTTCCTACAAAGAGATGTGAGTGATGGGGACCGTTTTTGCAAGCTGATAAATATTGGATCTTCGTTAGGAACCCCACGGGCGTTCGTTTTATGAACACTACTGCAATAAATCCAAGCATGACCATAAACATGTATCTACATATAAATAGAAGCCTCATAAACATGAAGGTACACGAAAACAAAACAAATGCATGTTGAATAAAACTATCAATGATGAATCTGTGTGTGTGTGTATTACAATAGAAAATGCAGACTTTCTGTGTTGAATGAAACATTCTATCTATGAATATGACTGTGTTTTGGGAACTAACCGACGTTTCAGACATACTACATCCATAATCATAGAGGCTGCCATGATGGAGGTAGTAGGTATCTATGAAATGTCGGCCAATTTCCACGAGACTACACTGTGCAATATCCCAAAAATTGGTAATTTTCATATTCGCCACCGTGAGAACCTCAATTCTCACCAACTTCTTCCTAGTTCAATATGGCTATAGATAAGTAAAAAGGTAAAGTTGCACCTGATGTTTAATCAAGCACCGCACCATTAAGACGAAGAAAGGAAAGTGGTATAACTCCACGCGTTAACCTCTACACTATATGAAGTTTAGCTATTAGCTTCAAGCTCCGGCCGCTTTACCCAACAACGAAAGAACCCCGGTACCCATTGATCAGGAGTTTGGGTGGGCCCCGGGGCCGGTACAGACATTGTGGCAAAGCGAAAATAGCTGCCATGCCGGGAATCGAACCCCGGCCGTCCGGTGATGGCTGTCTTCCGTAAAGATTCTTACTTGATCAGCGATATTATCATTTTCACATTGCGGTCCCATGTTAGATTTTTGTGCCCTTCACATACGACTATTCTATGTATCCTAGATTATTATTCTTGTGTTGAATATTAGAAAAAGGGTACCATCTT